CGGCGTTGAGAAAGAATAACTCCATGTTCGTGCGGAGTGACTTCCACACCAAGGAAGTAGGCAAGCGGTCCAAGATCTTTAATGAAAAATCGATGAGAGAGAGATGTAACAATCTGGTTGACTGTAGCATTACTGTCACCTGTGATTATAATATCATCCACGTAGACAAGAAGATATACACATTGATTACTAGTGTGGAGAATAAAAATAGACGTATATGCATGTGAGTTTCGAAATCCAATTGCAATAAGAAATTGACGAAGCTCATTGTACCATGCACGCGGAGCTTGTTTAAGGCCATATATTGCCTTGTGAAGCTTACGCACGTGTGTTGGGTAGTCGGGATCAACAAAACCTTGTGGTTGAGCCATATATACATCTTCGCTGAGATGCCCTTGTAAAAAGGCATTATTCACATCGAGTTGTCGGAGAGACCATCCACGACTTATAGTTATACTAAGGACAATCCAAACTGTTGTAGGCTTAATGACTGGGCTAAATGTATCATTGTAATCTACACCGGGTCGCTGCTGAAATCCTTTAGCAACCAACCGAGCCTTGTACCTATCAATTGAACCATCGGAGTGACGTTTAGTTCGGAAAATCCATTTGCAACCAACAATATTTTGGGAAGGTACATATGGAACTAACTCCCATGTCCCATTTCGAACAATAGCATCATATTCTTCAGACATGGCTTGACACCATTTAGGATCTTTGATGGCTTGGGTCGCAGTTGTGGGTTCCAACTCAGTGTTATTGGAAAGTTGGGCAGTGAGGTTCAAGTTTTGGGTAGGTTTGTGGATTGAATTTTTGGCCCGTGTAGTCATACGGTGTGAGTTATGGTTTTCAGGTACATGTATGGCTTGTTGGATGTTTGGTTCATGAGGGTTTGTGCGATTAGGTGATTGAGTCGGTGCTAAGGTTACAGTTGGTGGGTTTAGAGGTGATGGAGTGTTTGAGGATATGGGTTGGATATTTGGTTCAGGAGAGTTTGCGAGATTAGGTGATTGGGTCGGTGCTAAGGTTATAGTCGGTGGGTTTAGAGGCGGTGGAGTATTTGAGAGTGCTGATGGATTGGGTGGTACTTCACTCGAGAGCATATAAGGAGACCGCTCGTTAGATGGCGTGGAGAGTGGCCGGAGGTGAGTTTCTTGTGACAAAATTTGTAGAGGTGGCGGGATCCATGTGGAGATGCTGTGTGGTTCAGGGCGAGGTAAATGGGTATGAAGGGAAGAGAACGGGAAAACCGATTCAACAAACTTGACGTTTGTTAGAAGGATCATAACAAAAATATGCACTTTGTGTGAGAGAGTACCCAAGGAAGACACAAGGTGTAGAGCGAGATTCTAGTTTATGGAAAGAATATGGTCGAAGCCAAGGGTAACATAGGCAACCAAAGATCTTGAGTTTAGAATAGTTAGGAGAGGTACCAAAAATCTTTTCAAAAGGTGACAAGAGATTTAATGTTAGAGTCGGCATACGATTTATTAGATAAACAACAGTGATGAATGCATGCGACCAAAAAGTTAAAGTAAGTGAAGCATGAGAGAGAAGTGTGAGACCAATTTCGACTATGTGACGGTGACGTCTTTCAGAAAAACCATTATGTTCCGGTGTGTGAGGTGGTGTTTTAAGGTGAGAAATACCGTGAGTAGCTAAATAGGAAGTTAGGCTAATATATTCGCCACCATTGTCAGAATAAAGAGTTTTAATTTTTCTGTCAAAGTAGTTTTCGACAATTGTTTTGAATTGTTTGAAGACATCGTAAACATTTGATTTGTGCTTGAGTGTATAAAACCATGTATATTTTGTAAAATGATCAACAAAAATAACATAATATTTAAAACCATCATGCACGTCGGAAAAAATAGTTTGAAGAGGTTGAGTTGAAACAAGTGATGTGGTAGAAAAAGGGAGTTTGTGACTTTTATTGCAGTGGCATGCATTACATGAATTAGGCATAATTGAAGACGACAAATCTAAGTTATAATGAGACGCAACATGTTTTAGAATAGAGAAAGACGGATGACCTAATCTATGATGCCACTCGGACGAAGTGGTTTTGGCACTAGAAAAGGCAATTAGAGGTGGTTTCAGGGATGAGGAAGTCGGCCACTCATACACTCCATCCTTCGTTTGGCCCTTTTGTAGAATTGCCCCCGTGCGAAGTTCCTTCACAAGAAAATGAAATGGTAAGAATTCAAAGGATACATTATTAGTGAGGCAGAATTGTAAAATAGATATTAAATTCTTTTTCATGCTGGGAACACATAAACATTAGATAAATTGAACGAAGCGGTCGGGGTAATGAGGGAAGTGGAACCAATATGTGTTATCGGTAGACCCGTGCCATCGCCAATCATAACGTCGTATGTGCCTGTGTATGGTGCATGAAGAGATAAGTTGCTCAGGTCGGCAGTGACATGATGAGAGACACCACTGTCAAGGAGCCACGGTGGAGTTGCAGATGCAGAGGTGGCAGCAAAATGAGCCCTAGGTTGCCATGGTGTTGTAGAACGGCCAATCGGAGTTTGAGTTGAGGACAATGAGTCATTCGGTACAAGGCGAAATGAAGGACATCGTTTGGGAGTATGACCTTGAATACCACAAATTTGACAGTGGCCAAGATATGGTCGTGATAGTGAACGATCACCTCGAGATTGACTTTGACCCGAAGAAGGTCGCCAATTGAAGGAAGGACGCCATTTGGTGTTGGTCGATGGTGGACGTCACCCAGAGGTACGCAGATCTGTATGTGTGCGTTGTGCGGGATTGGTAGTGACTGGCATATAAGACTGATCGGGTTTTCTTCTCTTGCAAATGCGCTTCAAAAGTGAGTAGTTTTTCATGAAGCTCATCAAATGTGATCAGTGTGTCACGAGCGTTGACAACATTGACAAGATCTTTGTAATCATTGCCGAGACCGTCAAGAATTTTTTCCACTAGATCATCATCATCCATAGGGATACCCAATAACGCAAGTTCATCTGCCCGAGCTTTGACAGATTGTAGAAATTATGTTATGCTTTGAGCGCCTTTAGTAGGGTTTTTGAGGTGGCTTTTAACTTGTTTGATCCGCCCTCGAGATGCTTTGGCATAAGTATTAGCGAGAATAGTCCAAGCTTCACGAGATGTTGTTGCACGGGCAATGAAATGAATGATTGTAGGAGAAAGTGAGCCAATAATAGCGTTGAGTATAAGTTGATCCTGACGAATCCAAAAAGTATGGGCAGGGTTCGGTTGTGTTGTTTGGTTTGTAGTGATGGTAGCGGGTGGGCAAGGTTTGGTTCCATCAATATAACCAATGAGATCATAACCAAGAAAAATGGTTTGAAATTGGAATTTCCATGAGGTGTAATTAGTAGAGGAAAGTTTAAGAGGGGCCTGAGCAAATACATTGATGGTAATAAGTGTTTAGCTTGTATCAATAGTGGTAGTTGGAGGAGTAGCAGTATTGGCCATGGTGTAATTTGAGGTGTAGAGGTATTAGAAGAATGAGAGAGAGGTTTGTTAAAAAAAATGTTGCTATGTATACCATGTAAAAATAATAATATGAATAATATTTTTCATATTTTTCATTAACCAACACTATATTCTTATATATATATATATATATATATATACATGCATGATCAAAAAGGAACAAGCAAATATTCTTTAATAAATGTATATAAAATCAAATCAAATATCCTAATGATATTTACAATTAAATCAAATATTGCATATAATCAAATCAAATATCTTTGGGATTATCTCTAATAGAACGGACTAGAATGGGGTCGAACGGCTTCTGGCGGTGTTCGTGGTGTGTTTTTTGTGGCGGCGGGAATGGATTTAGTCACTCAAGTTTTCAAAAGTTTCAACTTAGGTCCCTAAATTTTATGATTTCTATTAAAATTTTAACCCCCAAATTGGAATTTTCTGTATTTTTTTCACCCTTTTGCACATTTAAAGGCTTTAAAGGAGGTTGTTGTAACATTGATATAACATTAATTTTTTATTGTAATATTATTTTAATAAATTAGCATATTATAATTTCTAAATCTATTTTTAGCATTTTAATTAACAAGTGTTCGCTTCGGCCGGTAAATTCCCGTGAAGTTGCAACGGTGGTCTCCGCAATAACGCCTACGACGTTCCCTTTTATATATATATATTCAGATTTTAAAAAAAAGTGTACAAGATACATAAAACTTACAATGAATATTGAATACTATAAAAATTTTAATTATAAATTTGTACCAATTAGCATAATTGTATAAGTTTAGGCCCCGTTTGGTTGGCAAGATAAGATTAAATAATCTAATGAAACTCAACTATTTTATTGGAGCTTGAAACGTCCAATAAAAAAACTCATTAGAAGGCAAGATAAGGCATAATTATATAATTTTGGCGGGTCGACCCGGCAATTTATTGAAGATACCAAACATCAAATTAAGTCAAACTATTTAGTTAATCATGCTTATCTTGGCAACCAAACGAGGCCTTAGCATTTTATTTGAATTTTAGAAATATTTATTTGTTGAAATGAAATTTGTAAACATTTTTTTAGAAAATTACATGTTAGATATATTCCATTCATTATAATATTAAAAAAAAAAAAAAAAAAAAAGTCTACTACTTATTTTAATATCTTAATATGAAAAAAAATTATTATTATTTTATTGCTAGAGTTATTTTCACAAAATAATATATATATATATATATATATATATATATATATATATATATATATATTTTATTTTTAAAGTAATATATCAGTGACTGTTGTGCGTTTAAGGAGATAGTTGTACCATTTGATGTTCACGATGTATTGTATAATATTCTTCTGCTTAATTATTAATGAATGTCATTTCATACAATATCAAAAATAAATTTTGTGAAACACATTTCAGTAGAAACTTCCGTATTTTTCGTAAACAGAGTATAAACTATATAGGATTAGACTATCACTTCTTGTGAAGAGAAAGAACTCTTTCGCAATTGGTGTGCTGGCGCATTATTTACACATCGAAGAATCTCGAGAAGATTCCTCGATTTCAGTACCGAAACAACTTAGGCTTCAAACCTCCTCAGCAAATTTAGGCGAAAATGTTTGGACAGCGTCCGCTACGGTCAGAAAAATCTTATCTTCGCCTATTACATTCGTAAGCTTCGATGCATGCAACTTGTCCATAACTACTGGCCCGGGATTTGCAAGAACAAGCTGTTCGAACAAAAACAAATGCTTTTTTTCAGGTAAATTTTCGAGTCATATTTATTTGTGCTTATAAAAAGAATTTTTTTTTTTTTAAATAAAGTACGAAGTTCGATTCGTTTTTACCTGAACAGATCTCTTCTGAAGACCTTTTTCCAGTTCTTCCAGTGCATGGATACCACTCGTGTCGATGTCCGTAACGGCTATAAAAGTACCATGAAAAGACGATAAGAATTTAAATATTTTACACGTAAAAATTTTGGTAAATATTTATGGATTTATTGCGAAAAATCGCATGCAGTTCAATTTATTTTAGCAAACTACTCCTAGAAACTCACTATTTCAGGGGTTGTGTGCTAAAAAAAATGCATTAAAAGGGTTTTTTTTGCTAATATTAATATCATGGGGAGTTTTTAAGCAATTCGATATAACACAGGGGTACTAAATGCAATAATAAACTAAAAATTTTACTTACGAGACATTTCTACAATCAAAAATTGAATTTGAGGAAGTCCGTCGGCTTTCAGCTGCTCGTCTTCATCCGTCAGCCACCTCAATAACCTACACAATTTCGGAAAAAAGAAAACCATTAGTTTCGTAATTTTACGTGCTTTTTTCTTCTTTTTCACAACAAGAATAGATTTCATTCGATTTACCTCTCCCTAATATAATTCGAATTCGAGAAGTATATTGCGGAATCGACCCTTATAATCAAAACTCCGGGGACTTTAGTTGCCTCCGGATACTGTTGAATATTCCGATAAACATTCGATCCCGGGATTTTTCCAAGAAGTGCCGTTCTTGGTCTTGTTACTTGTAAGAGTAACTTAGCGAAAGATATCGATACCTATATAATAATAAATTATAAAATTCACCAAAAACTCGAAATGATAAAAAAACAATTTTTTGAAAATAACAAATTTTTTTTTTTTTTTACTGCAATCAAGAGTCCCATTTCGACGGAGATAAAAACGACGCCGAAAAAGGCTCCCATGCAAGCGATGAAATCGAATTTATCGATCTTCCAAATAAGAATTGCGGCTTCGTAGTCAATTAAGCCAAGTACTGCAGAGATGATGATTGAAGATAGGATTGCGTTTGGCGTGTACTCGAAAAGTGGTGTGATGAATAGTAACGTCAAAAGTATAACAATCGACATCACTATGTTAGAAACTGCCGTTTGGCATCCGGCCATGAAATTTACAGCCGATCTCGAAAATGAACCTGCAAATAAAACCATATATTTAACACATTTTTTTATCCGTGCAATATTCTTAGGTCTTGTTTGGTTGTGAAGATACGGCATGATTAATCTCGAATTCACTAATTCGGACACAAAATTTCGGGATTTCCGGAAAATCCCATATTTTAAAAAAAGGGTCGGGATTTGAGAATTTCTTCATACCTTGAAGACAAATTTGTGATGATAGTACTTAGAAACAAAAAAAATCATTAGTTGAAAATTAAAAATAAAGTAACATAAGTTGAAAACTGAAACTAGAATTGCATAATTTGAAAACTTCGGGATTTCCCGAAGTACGGAATCGGGTAAAATTTAAATCCCGAATCCCGAATTTCCAATTTTCCGAAATCTTGTTCCGAACGAAAATCGTCTTTTTATGAGATTCAAAGCATCGTTGTTTACATGTCCGAATATTGTTTCATCGAGGAATCGAATTATTACCTGTAGCCACATAGCAAGATGTCATTGAACCAGCAATATTCATTGCACCAAGAGCAATCATTTCTTTGTTTCCATCTATTTGATAGTCTTTCATCGCAGCAAAAGTTCTTCCGATCGCAACAGCTTCCTGATATATATCCCGTTCGAATTACCGGTTATTAATATGATTCTTGAAAAGAAAAAAAAAAATAAAATAAAAAAATTACCGTGAGGGCAACCATGCCGGCCACTATGCCTATTTTAACACCTTTCAAGAGATAATCTCCCGTAAAATAAATTTCGTCTACCGATGGACGATTAATTCCTTTTTCTATATGCTTTACCTAATTGTCATAAAAAAAAATTAAAAAAAAATTATATTTATGTAACTATAAAAGTGGTTAATTTCAAGTAAATGAAGTAAGGTCTTACAATTTGTACTCCTTTTTTGTCTGCATGGGTAATGTAGACGAAGAAAGTCGATAGAATGACGGAGATTAGAGGAGCGATTGCAGCTATCCAGAATAACTTCTTCTTCTTCTTTCCCTGCATTCATTTCTCTCAACGTATGTCAGAAAAATTGATAATCGAGTAATTGGTTTATGTTTTCCAATATATATACAGTAGAACCTCAATAAATTAATACTCGATAAATTAATAACTTCGCTTAAATAATAATTTCTTACGGTCCCGACTCGGTAAAAACGTACTAAATTATTAGCTCGATAATTTAATATTTCGCTAAATTAATAGAATTTTGTCAAATCCGACTGTATTAATTTATAAAGGTTTACCTGTATTATTGGAATATATATGTGTATATATAAGAAGCAAAAGTACTTGAAAAATCTTACAATGTACTTTGCTAATAGGAGAAACACCAGAAAAGTTGCTCCGATGAGAATCGTCGGCACGTTCCACTGTGCAAATATAATATCATGAGAGAGAGAGAGAGAGAGAGAGAGAGAGAGAGAGAGAGAGAGAGAGAGAGAGAGAGAGAGCTCACGCCATGATGTGCCGAACCGAAGACAGATTGCATAACCGAAATAATATCAGTGTTCTTCGTAAATTTTTTAATGCCCAAAAAGCCCTTGAGCTGTTGGAGTGCAATTGTTATAGCAGCACCAGCCATAAATCCAACTATAGCAGCGTGCGATAGAAAGTCGATCAAGAATCCCAATCTGTCACACGGTAAAAAAAAAAAACGAAACTTAGCCACCAAAAAAAAAAAAGAATTAACTTAATTTTTAGTCGATAAATTGAGTTTGAATAATCGGAAGATAATTAATTACCTAAGAATGCCAAGAGTAGCTTGCGTTATACCGGCGAAGAAAGTAGCCGTAAAAGCAAGCCTACGATATTCAAAAGGATTTTTCACGGGATCTATTTCATTTTGCAAAAGAGTCCCTAACAATAGTGACACAACCGCAACCGGTCCGATAGCTATATCTCTCGAGCTTCCCATAAACGCGTAAACCAAAGGCGGGACGAAGCTTGAATCTAAAAATTCATTTCAAATATATTATTAATTGCTTCCTTAAATCATATATTATTGCATTCATCACCCACGCGTTTACTCTAATTGCTAAAAATGTCATAGTGTTAATGTGTTATTGATATTAGCAAGAACCCCCTATGATTAATCTTTTTTAGCAAACTACCCCGTAAAAAAACCAGTATTAGGGTTTTTTTTTTTTGCTAATACTAATAACACGAGGATTTTTTTTTTTTTTTATATATTCGATACAACGCAGGGGTATAAATGCAGTAACCTCTACATGAAATGGTTAATGAAATAATAATGTTACTCACATAAGCCATACTGAGGAGCTAAATTTGCAAGCTTCGCGTAGCCAATATCCTGTTAAATTAAAAAAAAAAAAAAAAAAAAAACTCAACGAAAAATATAACTAAATTCGTCGAACAATTTAACCAATATTGTATTTTTCTTACACAACAACAATAAATAAATATATAAGTATTGTACCTGAGGAATGCAGAGACTGGCAATAGTAAGCCCCGCAATTAAATCGCCTTTGAATTTAGCAAGATTGTAGCTTCTACCCCATTCAAGAATCGGGAAAACGGCTTGTACACCTAAAATGAACTTGCGGGACCCGCTTTGATCCTTAAACGTGCGAAGAGGGTCGTCGGAAAAGAATGTCTCTTTTAAAGTTGTCGAGAATTCCTTCCATAGCTTCTGCTTCGGAGGAACCCCCACTTTGTACGGTGGATGATGAGAATACGACAAATTTTCAGTTTCCATTTATAACCCTCGTTTCGATTTTCGGTACTTCAAAAGAAAAAATAAATTGTAATTAGATCATTATTGTAACATTTCGTCTTGTCTACTTATATAATTGTCCGGAAATTACGAGCTTAGCACCATTACATTACAAAAGTCTTCGATCGAGTGAATATATATCGACCAATTTTCGTATAAACCAGCGCGTTATAAAAAGAATTAGCACTATTTGAAACATAATTCGTTGTTCAAAGGCGAAGATTCTACAAAGTAAATTCGGTCATGATCCGAAAAATTATAAATATAAATCCAACAGCAGATTCATAATTCTAAATCGAATACCTAATTACAGTGATCACATTTATGAAAATTATATATGAATGTATATCTTTTTTACAAATAACACTAATTAATTAAAAATCAAGAAAATAAAAATCCCAGAAATTCTCACCTAAATTAAAGTAGATAGGATAGCCCCCACACACGACCACCTCTGCACAAACAAAAAACAAAAAAACTATTAAATTAACAAAAGCATCTCCGACAGCAAAACGACAAAGGGCCATTACATAAATAACCAATTTTTATTGGGTTATTTATGAAATTAATAATAATAAGTTTCCAGGAATGCGTGCTACACTGATGTATTCAACGAATTTGAAATTTGTTACCAATCTCACCTTTTTGCCTTTTAATTCTCACCCCCAATAGTGTTCATAAGAATATTTTCTGGGCCACAATCATCATTTGGAAAGATGACTGAAAAATATTAAAAAAAAATTGATAAAAAAGAATAATAAATAAAAATAAAAATCCAGGTGAATTCAATTTATTCTCGTACTAAGTACTAAATTAATATAAGATCGATCCGAGGTTCAAGGAATAACTATATTGTATGTATCTGTACGAGAAGTTGTATGTAGACGGAAATTTTGATCTAATACGTATTAAATTAATACGGTCAAATGTATTTTCTGTGTGTGTGTTTGACCGAAAAAAAAAATTGAAATGAAAAGACAATTATGAACTGGCGGCGGTGGTTATATGCAAACCCATTTTTTTATTAGTTCAAGACCTCCAATATAAAAATACTAATTTACCCTTAATGAAATTTAAAATCATAATAAAAAACACAAAACATTAAAAAATAAAAAAAAAAACATTTCCTTTGTGCAAGACCAAATCAAATACATAAATCCAGAAACCCCTCTTCCTTGTTTCACGACTTAAAACTCTCTTCTTCTCCTTCTTCTTCTTCACAAACCCACAAAGAAATCCTACACACCAAAATTATCAAATACATACCAAACATTCACGATGGAACCAGAAAACAATGATATGGTGGTTTGCGAGGGTGGAGAACACAATGAAATATGTTTTAACCGTTTATTTTTGCTTTTGGGTCGTTTTTTTTGTTGGAAAAAAAATTCGACAATACCAAAAATCGGTCTGCAAATACCGATTTTTGTTACTAAAGTCGGTAACCACATTCCGATTATTTTAATAAAAATCGGTACTTAAAAACCGATTTGTGTAGTAAAAATCGGCATGACAACACCGATTTGTTTTTGTATTATCGGTATTGTCATGCCGATTTGTACTACAAAAATCGGTTTTTAAATACCGATTTTATTATCTGTGTTTTTTTAAGACCATTTTCTCGTACTTTCGTGCATCAACCTAGGGGATTGATGGAGGATTATTCAAATGAATTATCTAACGAATAAATATTTGAGATACGGAAAGCTCTACTCGATTGGGTTAAAGGAGTGGTAGACGCCACCGAATGGTGATAAACATTTTCGTTTCAAATATTTAAAAAATATCAATTAACCAAATATGTAATGTATTATTTAAAAAAAAATTCAAAAAATATCGGTATTCGAAAACCGATTTTGTACTCAATAATCGACATTATAACGTCGATTTTGACTTGTAAAGTCGACGTTGTGTCGACGATTTGGTTAACAAAAATCGGTATTATGACGCCGATTTTCGTGTACAAAATCGGTCTGGATAAACCGATTTCGGAAACCAACGAAAAAAAATAAAAAAACAAATTTCAATCTCAATTTTTTTTTTCAAAATCGGCCAAATCATTGCAACCCAACAAGAAATAAGCATAGATTAATGTTCATTCATACATATTTATCAAGAATCGATGTTCGATTAATGTTTTCGAATTTACAAAAAAAAATCTAGTAAAAAGGACATCGATGCTCAATTAATGTTTTCGAATTTACAAACAAAAGTTTAGTAAAATGGATTTACTTGTTGGTGGTGGTAATGGTGCGGTGGGTGGGTCACTGGTCATCGCCGGTGCGGTGAAAGTCTCGCTGGTTGGCAGTCGTGATATTTTTTTTTTTTTTTTTATTTTTTGTCTTGAACAAATTAAAAATAAGATTTATTTGTATTTGAGTATTATTTGTGAATAAGGGTATATTTGTCATCTTTGGTCTTGATGTAATAAAATTAAATTAATTTACGGGCTTGAACTAATAAAGTCATTTATGTGGTTTTGAACTAATAAAAAAATGGGCTTGCATATAACCGCCACGTTATGAATTATGTAAAGCATTACCACATACTTACTACTTGACTGGGTTGACTTTTAGATACAAAGTCATACCTTCAAAGCAATATAAAGAATTAATTAATAGTAGTATTTGGACGACATTGTCAAGATACATTGGTGATATTGATAATTTTTATTATTTTATAATGATGAATTCATGAAAAGATTAGGGTAATCCAATGGATTTTGATAGTATATAATATAACTATGGGGGGAATTAAATAAAATTTAGTATTTCTTTGATAATATTAGTTTTCTCCGGCGTTGCTTTTGATATTTCAAATTTCGAGTCATATATACTTTCTATTAGGGGTGAACAAAAAAATCGAAAAACCGAACCAAAAAACTGAAAAATCGAACACTTTCGAACTGTTCCGAATAACAAACCGGATGTACGGTTTCTTATTCTTGAAAAATCGAATTATGCGTTTCATATGCGGTGCAAAGGATGAATAACCGAACCGAAGCTATATATTTTGATTACCCTAATTGTTACTTTCTCTTTCTTATTCTTGAAAAATCGAATTATGCGTTTCATATGCGGTGCAAATGACAAATAACCGAACCGAAGTTATATATTTTGATTACCCTAATTGTTACTTTCTATCTTTCGATTACTAGTCTCATTCTAAGCATTTGTGTATAAACTGAGACATTAGTATTTAGTATTTTAATCATTTAGTAACTAAATCGTTACTTAACATAATTTTAATGGGATGGATGAAAGTAGAAAAAAGAAATATAAGTATAATGCATCATTTTTTTTAATGGAATATAATAGTATAATGGATCATCTAAATTATGTTAAGTGTCACATGGAATTAAATATTTGATATTTATGTTGCGTTTAGTATATTTATTTTGATGGAATAGTTTAATGCTCCTTTCCTATAACCCACTAGGCCCAAAGCAGGAAGCCCATTAAGGACTAGGACCTGACCCATATGGTCCATTAGAATATGAAGCCCATGAAAGGAAGAAAAGGAGGGGGGCCCACCACCCGGCGGCTCAGGGCTGCAAGAAATAGGACTATCGAAATGGCCCGAGCGCACTTACGGCACCCGAGAGTCCCGTCGAGGGCATGACAGGTCGGAACAAGTACGGAAGGGCAGTCATAATGGCGGTGACAATGCCCCCTTTTGCACCCCTAGCGGCTCACTTAATGTTCTGATGAGGTATTTAATTCTTTGACGATGACATTTAATGTTCGAATCACCAGACGCGACTTAAAGACTGAGAAAACGTGGGTAGAAATCCATATTATATCTACAGAAAGAAGGTCTGGCTACAAAAAGGATCATCATGATCCGAGCCACCCGGGAAAGGCATGTAAATAACGCCGAAAGGCAGCAGCAAGGACTCCCCGACCCTTATTCGGGGACTCTTGGGGAGCGAGCCGGAGAAATACTATAAAAGAAGACAGATACATTTTTACTCATTCACTTGCTATATAATATAAAGAATCCTCTTCAAGAACCACGTTCGGTCCACTACTGACTTGGCCGTTGGAGTGCTAACTTGGGCGTCAGTCTGGCTTCCCTCTTTTGCAGGCTATCTTCACTCTTGCAAAGGATGCCGCATGATCGTATTTCTTTTGGACAGGTTGATTTTGGCGGTCGACGTTGGTCTTCGCCATTGACCTTTTTTTTAATCTATGTTTATGCCACTACCGTTGACTGGCGGTCGGATTCCTCGACGTAATTTTTTTTTTCATTGAAAAAAAAAATTATATTAGTTTCTCATACAATGATATTGTTGTGTTAATGTTATTGTTAACATAGTAATATTATTGTTAACATGGTAATATTATTGTGTTAGACAATAATATTAGTATGTTCGACAATAATATTACTGTGTTGGCGGTTAAAAAAGTGGAAAAAGAATGATTTAAAGAAAAACTAATATTACAGAGAAAACAGTAATATTAAGGGCAAATTACGGCCATCTCCATGAGGTATTGCCAAATTATGAAGAAAAAAAAAACCTTTCTAGTTTGTGTAATTACAACCACTCCCCTCCTTTTATATATTTTTACATAAAATTTATGTAATTCGGTTATTTACTGAACTAAATTGTATATTTAGTTCGGTAAACGGTATGAAATGTTGGTGTACCGAAAATTCGGTTCGGTTTTAACGAATTAACAACCCTAAATCTACCTCTAGAGGTGTCTTTTCGTAAGATAATACATAGTTGAGGGGGTGGCTGTAATTACCCAAACAGGAGAGGAGTTATCGTAATTTGATCATAACTCCGGGGGTGGCCGTAATTTGCCCTAATATTAATATGTTAGACAATAATATTACTATGCTCACATAAATTTCTTGACCGGTCAACTATGGGAAAGAAAAAAAAATCAAAAAGTCAAAACCAGAAACCAGTCACGAAAAAATTCTAGGAATAAAAATTCCAAAAAACTCAACGCCGGTGACATGGTGAAAAAAATTCTAATTTGTTTTTAAAAATATTATGAAGATAAGGTTAATGTGATATATTTATTATAAATTATAGTCAATGTGCAATATTGATTAAGCTAGAGTTTCAACTTTCATGGATGAAATTAAAATGATGT